TTATGCAGAATATCAGATGATTATACCTTTAGTTGAGGTTGTTACTTGATCAAGCTTGTTTTGGCTTATACAATGTATTGATATGAGATTCAGGTCTTATGATGAGTTTCATATGTTGAGATTTGGGTTCTAAGGTTTATGAACTAAAGAAGAGGTGAGATCTTTAGCTAAGTTGTGTTGTCAGGCTTATATGGATTGGGGTGTCGTGGGATCACCCTCGGTTGCAGGTATGGTGAGCTCATGCAGTAATTTGATAGCTTTGGAATGGCTATTGGCACGTTCGAGGACGAACTTATGTTTAAGTGGGGGGAGGGGGGATGTAATGACCCCACCGGTCATTTTGAGTATTTGCATTCAATTCGACAGTTTGAGGTCACAAATAGATTCGCATGGTGTATTTTGACTTGCTTGCATTGTTAGTTTTGATTTTCAAGTGGTTTGGAATTGATTTAGAAGGATGACTCTCACTTGAGAAGCTTGAAGTTGAAATAATTGACCAAGTTTGACTTTTATGTATATGATATTATATCAGAGTTTTGATGGTTTTGGTAGGTCCGGATGGTAATTTTGGACTTGGGAGTATGCCCGGATTTGCATTTGGATGTTTCTAGAAGGTTTCGACAATAATTGGCGTAAATTGGCAATTTAAAGGTTTGGATTTTTTCTAAGTTTGACCATGGTTTGACTTTATGTCTACCGAGTTCGGATTTTAGTTTCGGGGCTTGAAATAGGTTCGTTTCGTCATTTGGAACTTGTCTGCAAAATTTGGTGTCATTTGAAGTTGATTTGATGTGGTTCATTCGCTTGGTTGCAATTCTAGAAATACTTGAAGTTCAATGTGATTTTCGAGCGTTTTGGTATCTGATTCGTTGTTTTCAGATGTTATTTTGGTATTTTGACCATGCGAGTGAGTTTGTATGATATTTATGCACTTGTGTAGATATTTGGTGTGGAGCTCGAGGGCTCGGGTGGGTTTTAGACGCATTTTAGAGTGTTTTGAAGAGTTTCAGTTTTGTTGGGTTTGGTCTGGTGCATCAGGTCTCACAAATGCGAGATTTTGTTTGTGTCTACGAACCTCGCATTTGCGAGGAGGGTTATGCATTTGCGAGGTTAGGGTGTCACTGTTGAGCTTACATTTACGAACAAGTTGATCGCATTAGCAATGGCACCTGGGCATGGGCTTTTTTCGCATTTGCGACCCTTATGTTGCTTTTGCGAGGTGCCCAGCTTCGCATTTGCGAGATTTTATGTCATATTTGCGATGTATACAGAGTTGGTCAGTGGTCGCTTTTTGCGATCAAGTTTTCGCAATTGTGGGGTTCGCATTGCGAACCCCTGGTCGCAAATGCGACGTCTGCAGCTTATTTATAGCTGAGTATTGCAGGACTTAGCTTCATTTTATCATATTTTTAACCCTAGACTCGGTAGAAGGAATTTTATGAAGAGATTTTCATACCAAACTATTGGGTAAGTGATTCTAATCAGTTTTCTATTATATTCATGATTTTATACAAGATTTAGCATCAACTCCATGAGAATCTAAGAGAAATTTTTGGATTATTTGTCTATGTTTTGAAAAATAAAAATTGAGATTTGAGAGCCGAATTGGACTCGGATCTGAAAACCAAATATATATCTGAACTCGTGGGGCTATGGGTAGTCGAGACTAACCCTTCGACTCGTATTTTGACCGGTGGTCTCGGGGTTGACTTTTTGGAAATTGTATAAGGATCATAGCTTTATTAATTGGAATTGGTTTCTCTTGCATTGTTTGATATTATTAAGTTATTTTTTGCTAGATTTGAGTCAGGCGGAGGTCAATTTTAAAGGAAAAGCTATTTTGAGTATTGATTTGGCCCAATTGAGGTAAGTATCTTGCCTAATTTTGTGTGGGGAAAATTACCCCTTAGTTTTGGGTTAATGGTATACTTGACCTCTCGATCGAGAATAATCATGATAACACTAGGAGATGGCCATGCATGCCACCGATTTAATAGGGCATAGAAGAATATCTAACGATTTGACATTGCACCGCTGAATCTAGGGCTTCAGATTTGGGCGTTTGAATTTTAAGTGATGAAACGGGCAAGGAATCGGCGAGAATCATGGATAGGGAAGACAAAGGAGATGATTCTGCGTTTGATTTGTGACCTTGCACAAATTTGTGCAAGGTCTGTGCCTGATTTGTGCCGGTGAGCTTTGAGAGAATAGAGAGGAAAGGGGAAATGAGGCGACTGGGTCAAGGGGAAATGATTAGGGTTTGGGGATAGTTGGGATCATCTCGTGAGTTTAAACTCAAAGACGGGATCTGAGCCATTGAATCTTTAGATCAACGGCCCTGATAATTCAGCAGTTAAATAATTAAAACGAGAAAATATGACAACCATTAGATATTTGAATTTGGACGGTTGAGATTGAGTCTGATGGAATATTAAAATTAAAAGGGAAAATGAGATAAAACATGGGTCATTGATCTAAAGGATGGACGTCTTAGATTGGATGTGTTTATTTTGTAAGTGTTGGAGATGGGTGACGTGGCATGAGCTCATTGGCTCAACATAAATTGCCCCGATTGCCAAAGTGGAATGGGAGGGGTGAACCTGGACCGACTTTTGGTCTTGGGGCAGTGTTTTCTGGGCAGAAATTAGTTTAACAAATAGCCACATTGTATTTAATTGTGCAATTGTAGCCATTTAGTCTTTAACCTTTTAAAAATTAATTTAAACAAACTTAATTAATTTCAATAAAATGTAATAAAAATTATAATCATCAAATACACTATTAATTACTGTATTTAGTTAATTAATTATTAAATATCTCATTTTCTATTTGTGATACTAATTTCGAGCTTATTTTGAAATAATGGGTTATTTTTACCAAAATTAAGAAATAACCCTATTAAATTAACTATAAACCTATGTAATGAATATGAGAGTTATTTTAATTACTACAAAAATAATAAGACTAGTATATATATATATATATATATATATAATACTAACTTATTAATTAACACCATTAATTACTTAATTTTATATAAAAATAGGTATTATTAATTAAAAAATATTTTCAACATATTTATTGGAAATCAGTAAGTATAATTAAATTAATATTTAAAGGAAGGGTCAAAATTGGTTGTCAACAATGAGAACAAGCAACATAAGAGATTCGTAAAGAACTTTCTAGATTTTTGATATTTACCCATGTGAATTTTCGTTTATTTTTGCACATCATATTTAAATTAATATGGCTTAACCAATTATGTCAACTGAATAAATTATCAACATCGATAAATTTCAGGTTTACACCATGACGTATGCAATATCAATAAAATCCAAGTTTATTATAATATGGGGTTTTATATCAATAAATTTCTACTTTATTGTGACATTCTTTTTTTTGTGTGGTACAAGCTGAAGAATAAAGCGGGTAGCTTTTCACATACATATTACCCTGCTACAAGTTGTAATAATAAAAGATATTATATATTTTCTTTATTTATAGTCTCAATATAACCAACCACTTTAGCGAACACTTTAGAAACTCAACAAGTTTTTTTGAGACTTACTACGATACAATACCTTATTGATAATCAATTTTATTTCTCCAAAACAGTACAGTCAGACCTCTCTATAACAACATCCTTATATAATAACACTTCACTATAAAAGCCAAGTTTTTCCGTAAACCAAATTTCATGTTATAATATATGTTCTATATAACAATACTTCGCTATAATATACAAAAATATTCGGAACAAACGAGGTTGTTATAGAAAGGTTTGACTACATAATTTGCTCTTCTAGAGCTCTCTAATTTTGTACTACCATATATTCATCAATATCCCTATGGTGAATATCTCTTTCAAAGAGAAAGTTATACCATTATGGTAATGGTTAAAATTATATGCAAGATCTGTTTCTTGCATTATTGTTGTCATTTAATAATTACATTGTCAAGTCCACATTCATTGATATTTTTACGGTAATTTTATCTTCTTTCAAACTTATCATATATTGCTACCATATTCTCTTAAGGGAACGAGAATAAAGCAATTTCAATGGGACGAGTTTCCACTTCTTGTGCTCACAATCATACATGAATTTCTTGTGCTCACATCTGGTGGTAATAATTTCTTACAGCTCTATTATAGTTGAAATCAAAATTTATTGTCTTTGCTTGTATTTAAAATTAAATTATAGAATTTCAAGAATTTAAAAGAGAAAAATAAGGTGAAATACCTACCTTTAATCCATAATTTATTCCTGAAGAACATTTATGGAACAATTGACAATCATTATGCCCAATATTATTACAAATTAAGCATCGTACACGTATCCCAAATCTGATGACCAAAGCATATGCCTAGTGTAAGAAAATCAATGCATTCACGCAAATTACTATATCTTATCTCCACGGGTGGTTTAAATTTTCAAACATTAGACAACTAATTAATAGTATATCTAGAAATTAAAACAACCTCAGTAATGGGACGTTCGGGATGAAGCCAATCAAAAAAAAAAAATTCGATTTGGATAATATCTTTATTATGACACAAGATTGTTCTAAGCAGCTCAATTCCGATCTTCACTGGTCTGAGACGGCCCTCTGCAAGGCCAGAAATTGGAACACATTGATTCCGCTCGTTCCCGTCATTCGCTTCAGGGCCTCTCCCTCAGTGTGGTCAGTACTCCATACGTCCTTAACTCAATTGGTTAGAGTCGTGTGCACGTATTATAAAACAATAAAAGGAGAAAAAGAGTAATGAATAGAAAAGTAGAAATAAAATTGTTATTAGTTTAGGATTAATTTACAATGGAATAGAACACATTTATTTATAGGAAAAAAATAATTTAGCACCAAACTAACAAACTCTAAAATCTAAACATAGACATTCAATATAAATAAATTACTATTTATAAGAAATTTCACGTACTACTATTTTATTTTATTTTTGGAAAAAATTATAACCCGATGTCCAAACAAATAATAATGCTCCTGTTATATGTTGGTGCGCGTTTACTTGGACAATGGTTTTCGAATCAAGTATGACAAAACCTTTGGCGCCTTTATCCCAGTGGAAGAAAACTTCTTCATCAACGTATTTGCGTACAATTCAAACATTCTTCTCCATTCCTAAAATTACTGTCAACTTCAAGATTTCCCAGCGAATCACAGCAATCTATTTTCAAGCTTCACGGAAGCTGTTATATTTCCTACACAAAGCTCCTTTCACAGCTTTCCCAAACAAAGTCTTTGAACCCGGGTCTTCGAATCCAAGCTCATTTAACCAAAATTGAATTATCAAATGATAGCAAACATAAGAAACCACTTAATTAGTTTTTATTTAAAATGTGGTACTTTTGACTATGCATGAAAACTGATCGATGAAAGTCCTGAACCAATTTGGTTTCTTGGTCATCTTTGATATCTGGATATACCCAGAATAGTTTTAGTAACGATTCTATCTGGGCTTTCTTCAAAAAGCATTCTTTGGGTCTTAAATGTAATGACTTCACTTTTCCTAATGTGCTTAAGGCATGTTCTACTGAGAAGGAACTTCTATTAAGAAAGCAGCTTCATGGGATTGTTGTGGTGACAGGGTTTGAGTTTGATGTTTTCATCGCGAATACTTTGGTTGTTATGTATGCAAAATGTGGCGAGCTTTTTGATTCTAGGTTGTTGTTTGAGGAAATTCCGGAGAAAAATGTTATTTCTTGGAATGCTTTGTTTTCTTGTTACCCACAAAATGCTTTTTTCAGTGAGGCTATGTGTATGTTTCTTGACATGATTGATAGAGAGGTGATGCCTGGTGAGTATAGTTTATCCAATATACTGAATGCTTGTACTGGTTTAGGAGACATTGTTCAAGGGAAGAAAATTCATGGATTTTGGTAAAGCTTGGTTATGATTCTGATCCTTTCTCGTCTAATGCTACTTGTCGACATGTATGCCAAAGGGGGAGATATTAAGGATGCAATTACAGTTTTTGAGGTAATGCAATAGCCTGACATTGTTACATGGAATGCTATTATAGCTGGTTGTTTTCTTCATGAATGTCACCCGCAGGCTTTAGACATGTTGAATCAGCTGAGGAGGTCTGGAATTTTCCCTAATATGTTCACTTTATCAAGTGCTCTCAAGGCCTGTGCTGCATTGGAGCTTCCAGAATATGGTAAAGGGTTACATTCTCTTTTGATAAAGAAAGATATCATATTGGATCCATTCATGAGTGTTGGTCTTATTGATATGTATTGCAAGTGTGATTTGACCAAGGATGCGAGGTTGATCTATGATCTGATGCCCGAGAAGGATTTAATTGCATTGAATGCTATTATCTCTGGTTACCCACAGAAAGAGGAAGACGAGGAATATCTAGACCTTTTTGTTCAGATGTACAATCAAGGAATTAGATCTGATCAGACGAGTTTACTTGCCGTCCTCAAGTGTGCTGCTTCTTGCAGGCTGCTTATGTTTGCAAACAAGCACATGCACTTTTATGAAGTCAGGATTTCAGTGTGACACATTTGCCGTAAACAGTCTTGTTGATTCTTATGGAAAATGTAGCCTGCTGGATGACGCAACTACAAATTTTGACGAGTTCCCTATACCGGATTTTCCATCTTTTACCTCTCTTATAACCGCTTATGCTCTATATGGCCAGGGTGAAGATGCTATGAAACTCTACCTGAAGTTGCAAGATATGGGACTCAAGCCAGATTCATTTGTTTACAGTTCTCTCCTAAATGCATGTGCAAATCTATCAGCATATGAACAGGGGAAACAAATACATGCTCATGTATTGAAACAGGGGCACATGCACCCTTCATCAAAAAATTTCGTCAATATGTATGTATAGATAATACGAAAAATACATAATACTTGATATAAATATAAAAAATGACACTGCATATCCTTATAGTGATTTATTTATTTGTTCACTTTTTCAAATGTTGACACAGCTTACAAAAATTCTTGCTTATGCCATTGTATTAAAATATGTGCTCATGTCAGATGTATTTGCTGGTAACTCCCTAGTGAACATGTATGCCAAATGTGGAAGTATAGAGGATGCTAACCGTGCTTTCGTTGAGGTTCCTAAGAAAGGTATTGTTTCATGGTCGGCAATGATTGGAGGACTTGCCCAACATGGACATGCAAAAGGGGCGCTTCATTTATTTGGCGAGATGCTGAATGATGGCGTATTTCCCAATCACATAACATTGGTTAGTGTCCTCTGTGCATGTAACCATGTTGGCTTAGTTGCAGAAGCCAAGAAGTATTTTGACACAATGACAGATTCATTGATTTGGGACTGAACCAACTCAAGAGCATTATGCCTGCATGATCAATGTCCTTGGGCGGGCAGGAAAACTAGATGACGCTATTATTCTCATAAAGATGCCTTTTGAAGCTAATTCAACTGTCTGGGGTGCTCTTCTGGGTGCTGCAGGATTCCATTTGATTTTAGAGGTACCGCAATGTGCTGCTGAGATGCTTTTTTATCTTGAACCAGATAAATCTGGCACTCATGTTCTTCTTGCAAACATTTATGCATCAATTGGGTTGTGGGAAAATGTTGCAAAAGTAAGAAGACTGATGAAAGACAGTAAACTGAAAAAGGAACCTGGAGTTGGATTGAGGTCAAAGATAGTGTTTATACATTTATAGTGGGAGGCGGAAGCCACTCTAGAAGTGAAAATATATATGCCAAATTGGAGGAGTTGGGACAGTTAATGACTAAAGCTGGTTATGTTCCAATGGTAGAGATTGATCTCCATGATGTGGAAAAGAGACAAAAAGAGATCCTTTTCTCCCACCATAGTGAGAAACTAGCTGTTGCATTTGGGCTGATTGTTACACCTCCTGGTGCTCCTATTAGAGTGAAGAAGAACCTCCGGATATGTTTGGACTGCCATACAGCTTGTTTCAAATTCATTTGTAAAATTGTCTCTAGAGAGATCATTATTATAGTATTAACCTATTCTACCATTTTAAGGACGGTTCTTGTTCATGTGGTGATTATTCGTAGCACTTGAAGGATTACCTCTTTCATTTGGCTAGAAGACCCACTGAGCAAGTTTACACTTTCTAATTCGCCTGGAGCTGATAAGAGGTAGAGTGAAACCTTTGGACCAAAAAAACTTGTTTCTTGTTTCCTGTTTCCCTTATCTTCCCTTTAACTGCTTCTGCGTAGGTTCAACTAGTTCCTGTAACTTATGGAATATTTGGATTTTGGGGATTGTCCTGCTAACTGTGTCACTAATTATCTGAATACCTTTTCTCAGTAATATGAACACCTCATCCTTTACTTAATATTTTGAAGGGGCATATCTCAATTCCTTATTGGCACAAAAACTTACTCTATCTTGTGATGATAGCGACAATAACCTGACGAATCGTGGTTATCTTGTAAACTGTCCTCCTAGAAAAGTTTGTCAGTAACTCTCTTGTAATTTTTTAAAAAGAAAATACAGAAATATGTCACGTCCTTAGTCTTGAACTAAGTACACGTGCGGCACTTGACAACTCACTTACGATCTTGCACAATTTGCTCACGTTCTTGCTATGCCAAGTCAGCTTACTTCACTCAAGATCGCTAAGGAATGTTAGAACACAAAAGAATCGCCAAATGAAGCTTTTGTATTAGAGAGAACTTGATTGTCTTGCTTGGTGAGTTTACAAATGAATGCCCCCTATTTATACTAATCACCTAAGGGCTAGTGCGTAAATAATAATTGTTCCACAAGTTCTTCCATATTTACAAATAAGTACACTCTCTAGAATCTTCTATATAGCTAGAATCTTCCAAGGACTTTCCTAGTAATTCCATAGGGTTCTAGAGTCTTCCTAATGAAACCTCTATATTTTTCTAGAACCTTCCTACAAGTGCATAAATATCTAGAGCTTTCCCAAGAAAATTCTCTATAGTTCTAGAATATTCCACTAAGATCTAGTCCCTAACTTATGTAACCCTTCCATATGACAAAAATATATGCCAAGTGACACCTACGTGGCATGATGATGTGGCGGGTCATGACAAATAGCAACAATTTTAATGGTAAAATCTTGCGTAGATTCAATTTACTTTTTGATGCATCTATTGCAAAAATACGAGAGTGCATAGATATGCGTCATATGTGTGTTTATGTAATGCAGAAAGAGACATTCATACTTTTGCATTTATCGCTACTGCTCAACATATGTTCCTATTGAGAAATGGTAACTCAATATGATAAAGGTAAAGAAGCATATCTTGAAAAGTAAAGACTAACTGTTGCAGATAAGTAATCTGTATCAGTGGTTGCGTTTGGCTTTGTGAAATTGCATCTTATTTTTTGTTTTCTTTGTCTAACCTGATGTGCAATGTTTTCCTCTTGCTTCCGCTTAAGAAAATAAAATAATATTGACGCACAAGTTATCAGACCCCATGGTGTGGGATAATATTGGGTATGTTGTTGTTGTTGATGCACAAGTTACATGATATTTGAATTTGCAAAGGATGTGCTTGCAAAATTGCATTGTCTTTGTTAGACATGGATGAATTGAAGTTATATGATGGGTTCCATGAATGTATAGAACTTACTGAAAAAGGATGATAATTTTTGTTTCTTTCTTTGGTAGGCTGATGGTGCATGTCTCCACAATCTCCAGTATCAAAATCAATAACTAGTTCAACAGTTAGATGCCAGAAACATAAATTGCATGATCTTGAAGGCAAAAGGAAAGAATTATGGGACAGTGAAGCTTCTTATGATTACTTCTTGATTAAATCGGATCTGGAATCAGCTAACTTCTTTACTCATCCTAATAGTCTGGTGTCTGAATGGCTTAAATAACCTAACTTGTGATTTGCGTCGTTTTGATGGTCTTCTAAGTGATCTGATTCTTCTTGGAGCATGCAGTGTGGCAGATCAATTTGCTTTGCAAATCTGGGATCATCTGGATTATTCCGGAGGTTGGTTGTTAGAAGTATATGTGAATTTGGGTTTTATGTATTCAGTGGCGAAGCTAGGAATTTTCCTAAGGGTATTCAAATTTGAAAGAAATGAAAAAATATTCCCGACAAAAGGTGTTCAATATGTGTTATATACCTCTAAAAACGTAATATTATACCTATATACATAGTGCAATTTTGCGACGAAGGGTGGTCAACTGACTACCCTTGTGACCATGTGGCTTCGCCACTCTATGTATTATCCTGAAATTTCAATGTAGAAAGGACAAGCTGTTGTGCATTGTTGTGAGAATAATTTATTGATTTCTAAAGTCATTTAGGTTCAATTCTATGATGTCCCACGGAGGAGATATTCCTATGTAGGCTGTTGAAAACCAATGTTTGGCAATTCCAATGCCAAATCTATCCTGAATATCAGAGAAGCTCTTGATTTTTTTTAATAAGGTAAATTGTATTAATCAAAAGAGAGAAAACTCCCGTATATAGGAAGTATACCAAAAAGTAGAGAATTACATCAGAACATGATTCTCTACAAAAGACGCCCAATCTTCTATACAAGTAGGGGCTATATGAGTGCACCAAAAAGCGATCAAAGATAAAAGACTATTCTTAAAATGTGAAAAAGGAGACTCAATCCCCTCAAAAGCTTTCCTATTTCTCCTCTCCCCCCCTAAACTATCCACATGAGAGCTATCGGGCGAACTTCCACGCCTTTTGCTTTCTTCTTCTACGGAAATCGGTCCAGCTATATAACATCTCCTTTACCGTTCTTGGCATCACGCATTGAATACCAAAAAGATTCAGGATTGCCCTCCACAAAGCTGAGGACACAGGGCAATGCAATAAAAGATGATCAACTTCTTCCCCTGAGCTTTTATACATTTAGCACCAACTAACAAGTGTAATTCCTCTCTTTTGAAGATTTTCAGCAGTCAAGATCACTCCCCTCGCCGCTAGCCATGCAAAAAAGCACACCTTTGTGGGTGCCTTAGGAATCCAGATCGAGGAGTATGGAAAAGTGGCCCCCTCTCTCACGAACATACTCTGATAAAAGGACTTTACGGTGAACAAACCATCGCCACAAAAACCCCATCTCCAAGAATCACAAGATGGCCGAGGCCTGTCTTGCCCATATAGCAATGTAAACAAATTTAGGAGCTCCGCAATATCCTAATATTGTATGTTCCTTCTAAATGAGAGGTCTCATACTACCCCCCCCCCCATGCTCCTTACGAATCTGTTGGACCATCAATTCCTTCTGGTTTGAAGCTCTGAAGACGCGAGGGAAGGAGACCCACAGAGTATCCTCTCCACACCACCTATGATTCCAAAAGCTGATTCTCCTCCCATCTCCCACCTTGTAAGTGATGTTTCCACTGAATGCTTCCCAATTCTTCATGATGCTCCTCCACATGCCACACCCAAAAGGTGTTGTGATTGATTTGGTCCTCCAACCCCCTCCTGTGGAATCGTACTTTTTCTACTATGACCTCCCTCCATAGGGCATGCTCTTCTACCCCGAATCTCTACAGCCACTTCCCCAATAAAGCTCTGTTGAATACCCTAAGATCTTTTACTCCAAGTCCACCCCACTTCTTTGGGGAAGTGACTGTCTGCCAATTCACTAGATGAAACTTTCTAGTTCCATCCGCGGCATCCCAAAGAAAATTCCTTTGAAGCCGCTATAGTTTTTCTGTGATGCTCACCGGAGCTTGCAACAGGGACAAGTAATAGGTGGGCATACTGGATAAAGTGCTTTTAATAAGCACTTCCTTACCGCCTTTTGACAAATACCGTTTCTGCCAGCCTACTAATCTTTTTTCAACCCTTTCGATCACTGGATTCCAAACCGTAATTCCTTATGCGACGAGCCCAATGGGAGACCCAGGTAAGTAGTGGGGAGGGAGCCCACCTTACATCTGAGAACATAAGACAAAGCATCAATATTAGCAACCTCACCCACCGGGAAAATCTCACACTTGCCGAAATTGATTTTGAGTCCTAAAACTATCTGAAACCACTGCTGGACCTGCTTTAGGTAGGTCAACTGATCCATATCGGCATCACAGAAAACCAGGGTGTCACCGCAAAGAGCAAATGAGAGACTCTTCGGGCACTGAGCACCTCGATTAGAGTTGCGAATCCTCTCAAGAAGCCTCCGCCTGCCGCACGATCCATCATTTCTTAGAGCATCCATCACTAGAATGAATAGCTTGGGGGATAGGGGGTCACCTTGCCTGAGACCCCTGGAGCTGCCAAAGAAACCACACGTGCTGCCATTAACCAAGACAGAGAATCTTTCTTAGGCAGAACTTGATCCATCCCCTCCATCTTGCCCCAAACATCATCCGCATCATAATGAAATTCAGGAACTCCCAATTGACATGGTCGAAAGCCTTCTCAAGGTCTAACTTGCATAGTAAGCCGGGTTCTCTATTTTTCCTTCTGGAGTCTACAAGTTCATTTGCCACCAAAGTAGCATCCAGGATCTGCCTACCTTCCACAAACGCATTCTGGGAGGACGAACAGTCACGTCAAGAATCTTCTTAAATATGTTGGAAAGCACTTTGGAAATGATCTTGTAGATGCTCCCCACGAGACTAATAGGCATATAGTCTCTGCTACAAGATGCACCTTCTTTCTTAGGCACAATAGTAATAAAAAAAAAGCATTGATACTTCTCTCAAAAACACCATTCACATGGAAGTATTCAATGACTTCCATCAACTCCCCCTTGATGGTGTCCCAATAGAGCTAGAAGAAGGCCAAAGAGAAACCATCAGGCCCCGGGGCCATATCACCAGCACAACTCGACACAGCTCCTTGCACCTTCTCCTCCTCGAAAGCCCTTTCTAGACACTCACTGTCTCCCTCCCCTATGTGGTTGAACTCTATTCCCCGCAAAGTCGGCCTCTAACTAACTTCCTCTTTGTATAAGTTCTTATAATATCCCACTATCGCCCATTTTACCTCCTACTCTCTCTCAATCCTCACGCCATCCACAACTAAGGACTCTATGAAGTTTCTCCTTCGATTTACAACTGCCACCCTGTGGAAAAACTTGGTATTCGAATCCCCCTCGTTTAACCAGAGCGCCCTCAATTTTTGCCGCCAACTATCCTCCTGAGCTATTACTAACTCGACTATTTCCCTTTTAACCTCCCCCAATTTCGCTTTCTCAGATTCATGTAACTCCTTTGCCCCTTCACCTCTTTCTAATTCCCCCAATTCATGCATAAGCTCCCTCATTTTAACCTCTTCCCTTCCAAAAACCTCCTTATTCCACCTAATAATATCTCCCTTGAGCAATTTAAGTTTTTTCAAAAGACGGAATGAAGGCGTCCATGATATCCTGTAGCTTGTCCACCATTCTTTCACCTTGTTACCGATTCCTGACACTTTCAACCACATGTTCTCGAATCGGAAGGGAGCACGTACCCCTTCCCTCTGCATCCATCTAGCAAAATAGGCAAATGATCCGAAGTCAGCCTAGGTAAAGGAATCTGCAGCACATTCGGCACCAGCTCATCCCATGAGGGCGATATCAGGAATCTATCAAGTCTAGACCTTGAGTTGGAATCCTCCGCCCTAGCCCAAGTAAACCTTTCCCCTGACAGAGGAAGGTCAATGAGAAAGTGATCATTGATGAAGTCAGAAAACTCCTCCATGGCCCTTGAAATCAGATTACACCCTAATCTCTCCTCCAGGAATCTAATAGTGTTAATGTCTCCCCTAGAACCCATAGAATGTCCCATTCCCCATCACAGTGACCAGTTCCTCCCAGAAAGACACCTTGGACCCTTCTCCTACCGGTCTGTACACTCTCCCAAATCCCCACTCTACCCCACTCACTCTATCTTTGACAAGAGTTGCTAAAGAAAAAGCTCCCTTCTTAATCTCCTTTACCTCCAAGCTTCTATCATCCCACATTAGAAGAATGCTCCCGGAACTTCCCACAGCTGGAACCCAGTCATATTTTACCCAATTACCTCCCCAGACACTCCTCACAATCACATCCGACAAAACTTTCATTTTTGTCTCCTGAAAACAAACTAGGTTAGCACCCTACTATCTAACTCTCACTTTGATGATGTCCCTTTTGTTTGGGTCATTCATCCCCCTCACATTCCTTGAAAGAATCTTAACATCTATAAGTAACAATACCCCCTTCTCCCCCCTCCCTGCCGAGCTCCCCTCCTCCTTGTCACACACCCGACCCCTTCTCTGGTACACCACTATATCCCCTAAATTATTTTGCTTAACACCTTGACCCAACTCCCTCCCTGTACCATCATAAAGAGATTGTTGCTCAATCTCCCTCAACAGTTCTAACACCCTATCTTCCTTTCCTTCAAAAGAAACACCTAGAAACTTCCCAAAGTTTAATAGTTTATACTCCATCCAGAAAGACATATACCCTCTTCCAATTCGTGACGAAATTGGGCAGGCGTCTTCTATATGTATCCTTTCCTTGCTCCTACCAGAAGAATACAAGACCATAGCATTGCTCGCAATAGGAACTTTAGTTGCCGAAAGGATCTCACCATTTCCTTGAGGGGCAGCAATCTCTGAAATTAACACCCCGCTACTATAGGAATGACCAGAAACGCCAATACGGTAGCAGGAAGGAAGAGAGCATGGAACCCTTGACGGCATATTAACTGGAGATACTGGTTCGGCACTAACATCAATTGGAGCATGCTCAACAATCTCCCCAGAAGAAGAAGAAGCTTGAAGTGTAACCTCAGGTGAGGGGGCGATGGAGCTGGGTCCATCAAAGGTGGGAGGCCGTTGAATAACAGCACCTGAAGCAGCGACCATCGAAGAGGGGCGCAGGTCACTAGAGCTCGGTGAAGAAATGCCACTGTGAGAAGCACCATTGGCAAAAGAAGGAGGAGCGCCTGTTCCCATATGCTTAGGAGCCTTATCAGGCGTACCTTGAAATAATTTGGGCCCCTTAGGATCAATTCTAATAGAATTGGAAAAAGTTGTTGGTCCTATGTGAGGAGGTCAGGCATAACTTGCTGAAAACTTGTCCGGCCCTATGATAATTAGAAGAGGACTGGCTCATTCTGCCTTTCCGGCCCGCATCACTAACCCATTCACGTCTTTTCCTCCTTTTGAAATTTTGTCTTCCTCTCAAAATTCAAACCTCTCATCTCTTCTTGATCTAACGCCTGATTTTGGCTTAGTCCAGTAATCCGGTGAGCCCTCCTCTCCTCTCAGAGACTAATTCCCCCTCCCCTTCCTTCTATTTGACCTTCCCTTTTCTTCCGCCACCATCATAGGCATAAAGATAGGGCGAAATTCAGGGCTCAACCAAACCCTATAACTCAAGTAGCCATCCTCCACCACAGTGGAGACTGGGATTCTGCCCCTTTTCCTCACCACAATCCTCACTCGCGAGAGATCGTGTAAGTTGCAAGTGACATCAATAAAACCCCTACAGATTCCCCTAATCTTCTTGAATAGGTCAAGACACCAAAGATGCACCGGGAGACCTACCATGTTGACCACCAATGTTTTGCCAATGAAAAGAGGGTCGAGACACCCATCGTGCTCCACCCATCTGTCTAGTTTTAAGTTCCCACCAAACCACCTGTTTCCTCTTACAAGAATTTCTGAAGCTTGAGACTCATCAACAAATCGAAAGAGATATTGCATATCCCTCAGTTGCGATATTTTCAGTCCGTCCTTGACGTTCCATGTCTCTGCTGTCCAGTTCCTAATAGCCTCTGGAGAACCAACCCGTTTGGAGAAAGACCTAATCAAACAAGATTCCAAGAAACCCTTACGCCTGAGAGTGTACTCCTCAGACAGCGAGAAGTGCGGCTCCTGCCCTACGTCAAGCTTTTGATGGCATCTTCCCCCAGGTTCTAGGGCTGGCCAAGAGGCAGCTTTGATAAAAGACATGTTTTCCAATTTTTTAGATTCTAGGGAGAAGTAGAGTTTCTCTCTGTAGAGTCCATCATAACTAAACCAAAAGCCTTGCTAGGGAGCTGACTGAAGAAGAAGAAGAAGTGAAATCTGGCCGGAAAAAGCCACCTCCGTCGCCAGAAAATAGTAAAAGTGGTCGGAATCTGGAGGTTGGTGGATGGGTAGGGTCGGAACAGCCTCGCGAAGAGGCTATCTGAAGAAAAGAAGTTCAGATCTAGCCTGGAAAGGCCTTACGCGCCAGCGCGTGGGTTAGAGTCGCCGGAGCTCTGCCACGCATGGCGGTGCGTGGAGTCGGATTCCGGGGATTTTTTCTGGGTAGTGTCGCGGCAGGGTTGGCTCTCGGATTATGGCGGTGAAATCCTAGGATTCATGGTTCTCAGGCGCCTGGGGAAGCGTGCCTGGGAGCATTTTCTTTGTGTGCAAAGGGAATGTTAATGTCCTCCTTACTAGATCAAATAGGGAACCCATGAACCATCAGAGAGAGCTCGAAAGAAATACCGTTATCTTGGAAGATGCTGATCTGTGTCAATCTTTATCTTGGAAGATGCTATTGATGCTCAGCGAATTAAAACAGAAATTTTTTCTCTTGTTTTGGAAGGAGAATCAGCACAAGGTAGTAACCTGGAAAGACCTTGAGTTGGTCCTACTTTTTACTCTTTATTCTGTGACTACTTTGCAAGTTTTAGTTGTCTTCGGGATTTATTTTTTACTATGTACAGATGTAGTGCTTGAATCAGGTCAAAACTGATTATTTGCCATCATTTAAATTTTCAGATGCTATCATTCTTTTAAGGAAGGTTGATGCTACGATGAAAGAGGAGGCTAATTATCTCCGTTAAGTGATTGATGTTCTTTATTTCAAACACAAAGAATGGGCTGATGCAATTGAAGCTTATAGTCAAAGCCATTCAGTGCTTCAATCTGAGTTAAAACGCCTTGAAGGTAGTTGCAACATTTCTTTATTTCATGCGAGGACACAATATTTTGAGGTGTCCGTATATGAGAGCTCTAAAGTACAATCAGTATTCTGCTTATAGTCAACATTGATATCAAATTATAGAGACATACTTATGTGGCTGTTGGAATTGGTATGTAATGTTTATCTTCAACCATGGTCTATCTATGATGGCATGGAATTGAAAGCTAAGAGCTCCAAATAGAAAACCTGTATCATCAGTTACCGTCCAGCCAACTTATACAAAGAGTGCTGTGCCTGCTACAGAGTGGAAACCTGCTTCTGAGTCAAACTCAATGTCCCAGGCAGATGAAGGTTTATGTCAAGAAGGTAAGATGAATGCATATTCGCAATCAATGTCGCTACTCTTTGAGTAGCTGCATTCTAGCTTCTAGTTCATTATATTACCGAGTTTAGCTAGATTTGACTCTATATGCTTTTCTCCAGGGGAATCAAAATCTGTCTACCTGAGGAATTTGCCATATCCAATGTACTAGTCTAGATTTTTTGCAAGAGTTTAAGAACTTTGGGAAGAATAAGCAGAATGGAGCATTCTTGGAAAAGCGCAAAGTAGTTTTTTCCCGTTGTCAATATTATATGCTTCAATTGTCTTACATGCTCTAATATTTCGATTGCAATTGATGGATAGAATATCAGCATTTGCTATACCTTTGTTGAGTTTGAATACCTCAGGGTTTCCAAAATGCAATTAAGGTATGAAATTTGAAATCATGATTCATTGATTTGGTGTGTGTTTTCGTGGAGGATTTGAGTTGCATTTCTAGTTGTTGGTAAAAGCTGCTCTTAACTTTTTTTTTTTAACCTTCTGTCCTGTAAGATTCCTAGCAGATTGTTCACTCAAATCTTAATTTTAGCTAGCTTTCTAGTACTAAATCGCATTAGTAAGGTCCGTGCTTGAAATATTTCTGATCACATAGATCGATGATCTTTTATTTAATGGTTGTGGAACTTGCATTCAGTAGATAAAACATTTTCTGAAGCAATATGATGCAGTTAGTTGTCTTGAGTAATAGTTGTAAGTGGAAGGTGTACGTCCACGAATTATTGCCACAATCTCATATTCATACATTACTTTGTTATCTCATCCCTTGTATACCTAGTATATGATGCTTTCTCTTCCCTGTTCTTAGGCATTACCCGTACCATTGACTGGAAGGCAAGTTTACATTGAGGAAAGTAGATCAATCAGCTGTAGTGTTTCTCGTGGAGATAGTCTGTAGCTTAAAATTAATTTCAATTTCACATTGTGGTACTTATATCTCTTTATGCTTTTCTTAGAGATTTGTTCTATCTTTTGCTTGCTTGAGTAGTTCTTTGGTAGAATCAATTAACATTATCCTTGTATGCAGGATATAATCTCTTGGTCATGACTTTTAATCTCCACGTTCTTTAGTTAGACTGTGTATGGAGATTTCCTGTTTCATTTGGACTAATGCCCTAGTCACAGTTAATGCTAATTCCTCCCTACGATGATGGTACTACAATCCAAGATGAAATACTGTTATTTTTATTGTTCAATGCAGCTTGTCAGAATGTCTTGAGCAAAGCTAAATGGTATGGTGGTGACATCAAGCTGCTTCTTCATAATCCATGTCCCCCAACTCTCCTGATTGTAATATGGTATTAAACATGTAAGCTTTGCAAGCAATGAAAGTCGTGAGGAAATTGTCAATATAAACGCTTAGCACAATTGGAGTTTGACAAGTACTTCTGTTTCACCATTCACAGGGGTAGTCAATCAACCACGACAGCAGAAGTAATACAGAAGTACTGTGCATCAGTTTTATTACTACCTTAGAGGCTTAATTACAGGTTCTTCCTAATTGCTCACTAAGCTTCAGCTAATACTGCTGTTAAATATTTGAATGAACAATGATTTTCTTTCAAGTCAAGCAGTTATAGAGGCTGTAGCTACAGTATGCAGCATTGCTGGTGCTTGTATATCATCGTTCTCATCTTCTTCATCTTCTATCTCCCAGAGGAAATTAGCATAAGCTGCATGTATGTGGCTGTCAACACATCAAAGATGAAGAGGTCAGTTCTTGAAATAAATAACAACTTGTTCTTGAATTGTATTTCTATAATAAAGCTTATTCTCAGTAGAGTATGAGAAGCGAACCTGTCACTAGAGGCAGCTTGAACTGCTCTTTCAAAATAGCTCGTGGCTCTATCTTCATCGCAGTGAAGCTCCCATATTAGTTTAGCGTACTGTGAAAGAATTTCACCATCACTTGGATCTGCTAAAATAGCTCTTGAGTAGTATTCCTCTGCCTCTTTAAGATCTTTCTTTATCTGCTCCAACATGAAAGAAGATAATTAGCAAAAGCATAGGTAGCTATTCTGGACTCCCAAGATGCTATTAAACAACAGTAGCTTAATTAAGGAAGCATAAAGACTCACTTGGTATAAAAAGTTGGCATAATTCCTCAAGAATAGAGAATTGCCAGGATTCTCTTCCAACATCCTCTTGTAATACTCTTCTATGTGGAGCCCCGGGCTGTCGCCACCACTTTCCCTATCAAAGGCTACGGGCCGATAACCGCCTCCTCCTCCTCCTCCTCCGTTGCCCCAGCCTCCATAGGGGCCACCATCATCAAAACAACCAATATCAGCAACCCCAATTCCTCTGGCTAGGTACATTTCTTCTCTGCCTTCAACAATTTCTAACTTTAAATTTTGACTCACATAACTCATTTCCTCTTTTAGACCATTAGTTCCCAAACTGTACTGCTTACTAATGTAACCAAAGTCATCATCTTCATCTTCCTCATCATAGCTGTCGTCGTCCGAATGAAACTCCCTTGAATTGTGAATGTTGAAAGATGGAATGGTTTCCAAGAATGCTTTGTGGGGTTTACGTACAAGCCTCTTCGGTAGTTTTGAGAGGCTAAATTCATCAACTTCTTCAGTTGAGGCTTTTGCCAATCCTTCCAAGTTCCCTTCAGATTGAGCTCTTCTAAAACCATGAGATGCTAATTGTCTGCCATTGCTAAGCTCAGAAACTGAAGGAGAGATGGGAGAGTTAGAAATCTTGGTGTAATTCTGATATCCACCATGGTTACATGAGAGTTTGGTGTAACTATGGTGAATGGAATTGGGTGTGTGATTGCTTGGACTTTCTGAGAGTAAGGATCGAAGAAGTGGTGTTGATGAACTCCTTAACATCATTTTTTCTTTTCTTGTTTGAGTGTAAAACAAAGATTCAATCTTTATTTACGTGATTATAAAGTTCCTGTAGAGAAGAGAAAAGATTTTAGGCATAAACTGACAAATACCAAAAGGAAAAATCAATAGCAGAAGAACAAAGCTAGATTTACCTAAAATGAGTATTCTTGAAAATCCTCTGGACCAATAATCTTGCTGGTGAAGAAATGACTCTTTATATAGAAAGAAGATATTTTGACATAATAAATGGAAGATATTACAATAGTGTTGGAATTGAAGAAGAAGAAAAAAAAGAAGTGGTGGAGAATGAAAGTTTCCAGCAAAAATATCAGATTTTGCTCAATTATTATTTTAGCTGGAAAAGGTCAAGACTGGTTGCTTTTTAACATGTGTGTTTGGGGTGATATGCTCCGTTGGTTACCAAAGAAAACAAATTTGATTTTGGCATATATCTACAGGTTGGAATAACAAAAAATGAAGAGTTGTCCACTTGTTTTCTTGGGTAGGACTAGGAAGGTAACAGGGTAAGAATTGTAGTCTGACATTTAAGCATTTGAATATCCTGGCATTTAGCACGTTTTTCACCTATTTCACGTTACGCGTTTTACTGCTTTGTTGATTAGTATGTTACTAACACATATAATCATATGCAAATTCTGCTGCAGGAATTTCTACAACAATTATTCACACGATTTGGCTCCAAGTCTCAATTTTTAAATGTAATTTGAGAATATTGTTTTCGAAAACTGATTTTATTGATACCTATGAAAGCTAGGGAGAAATTGTCACCCTTGCTTTTTTCCCCTTCTTCTTCTCTTTTTTTTTTTTNCAATTTAGAAAATCTTACACCACAAGCAAATTCTATTTTTCGGTTAAAAATCTCTGTAACTTTGGATTTTAAATAATAATCTTAGTTGATAATTATGGGACTCTTGAGACTCTAGAAAGGGTTTAAAATCTTCAATGATTACAATTCCAAAAACTTAAGATTCTGTATGGATATGTTAATGTAAGATTTAAGAAAGTGTTAGTGTAAAATAAGCTCACACTGCCAATTCATGCTTTTGTAAATGCTGTAATTAAGGAGAACTACATGAATATATAAACTTAGACATCGTAGACGATAATCATTATTATATACATCATATTAGTTTGATGGCCTGACTTATAAATCGTGATTGTATAACTCCTATCAGTTTGATGACCTGAATTATAATTACACATACTAAAACTACGATAAATTGATGAAAATTGATTATATATTTAGTAAAGTGACTTTCCTAATTAACTTTCATTAGTTCAGTACAAAACAAAGCATGTGGAGTCATGAAACGGGTTGGTAAATGGTTTTAGTGGACACTTTTAATTGTTTAAATAATTAGGCGAAATGAAAATGCCAAATATCCTAGTTACAAAAGGTTAAATTGAGTGATCTTTTAAGTTACAACAAAATTACTTTAATAACCAATTTTCATTAGTTCAGAACCTTATGAGGAATCAACTCTTTTTATCCGGCAAGTTTTACCGCATAAATGATACTTATCAAATAACCAAATTTTTGAGTACCTCAATATAATCCAACTAGTTTTTGGACACGTACATTGCACGTGTATGTCTATCCCTTGTTACAAATTTTTTAAAGGGGCTAAAATAAAGCGAAAAAGTACTAGCTAAAAATGATGAATTGCACACGCAATATAGTGTTGAACTTAAAATAATTGGATATGTAGATGTATTTTCTTATTAATTTTATGAGATACAAATATGTAATATGATATAGCATACCCAAAGTTTTTTTATAAATGTTATTCTTGGAGTATGTTCTATTACAACATTTCAATTATTTGTCATGATGATAATCTTAGTGTCGGCGGTGATATCCCTCGTGAAAATACAATGAGTATATAATTGTCAGTGTGAGAAAATTTGTTGAGGAACATACAACCCATATTGGAATTGTTTGATCTTGTACTTTACTTATTACCCTTAAATCAAATAGCATGACATGTTAGAGCTCGATCGGGAGCAACAGAATTTAAGAATGACACCATTGTATAAGTAAGGGTAAAAGGTAAACATGAATCCATGTATAGAATAATCTTGTAATACAAAAACCAATATATCACATAACAGACTTAACCAATCTTAGCTGATTTATGTTACTAAAACCTAAGCAAAATGAAATTTAGCAATAAAAATGAAATTTAGCTACTATGCGTGCAAATGTTAGTAACGTTATTGGCATGATTTATAATTCAGTAGCAATAAAAAAGACACAAAAAGGGACTTGGGGAAAAATAGCCAAAATGCCCAAAAATGAAAGTTATCATCACGACGAACATTTAAACCCTCGCAATACTATAGCCAGGAACTCACCAATGCTAAATAAAGAATGCTCTTCTTTAGGAATATTTTCAAGCTTAATATAAAATGAACTACTCGTCAGATAGCCATTAAACTAAATCTAGTATTTCTCTATTACGTATAAAACAGTAGATAAGAATTAAAAAAAAACACACACACACACACAAAAAGAATCAAAAACAAAAGAAAGTAAACACAACTATGCTAAAATGATACAAGAATTACTTTTAAAATATGGGTTGCATAGCTTTCCGGGTCCATTACATCTAACCCCAAGTATGAAAAAGAAAAATTAATTACATAGTGAGTAAAACCAAACTTTTCTCGAAGTAACAGTGCATCTGCTTAATTCTAGTAAAGAAGAGAATTAATTAGTGAAATGGATTACCAAAGAATAATTTGATTGACCTGATTTGATTGCTAAATATTAACACTTTTGTTGCAAGAGCTCTTCTCTTCTTCTTCTTTTGAACTTTGGCACTTGTCCTCTTCTGGCTTCTTGTCAACAGACTTCTTTGCTTTTGTAGCCATAGATAATCCAGAGAAAAAATTAGAAAACAAAATTAGTAGTGAAGAATATATTTGATGCAGGAAAAAAAATTATACTTAGAATTTGATGATATTCAGAGTCATATGCTATAATATCAATAATCAAATAGAGGACTGTACTTCCATAGACAAATGATTTCCTCTATTCCTTCTTTTTTTTTTTCAATCAGAAAGTATTATTCCAAAATGGGTTGAAATATTTTCTTTAATTTAGATGATTTCATAATAGTGTTCATCTGTTAAAGGCTAATAAATCTTCTTCGTTAGTTATTTTGCACCGTTTCAACATTGCACTACTTCGAGATAATAATAATTATGGTCACAAATTAAGGTAGTGTAATGATAACACTCGTACAGTCATAAATATGGCGCCCCTTCCACTTCTTATATAACGGCCAAAAAATGAAAAAGAAGAGAAAGGCTAACATTAATGTAGAAGATGAAAATTTCTTTCTCACGCCCATTAACTATTGATGATAGGCTATAATTACGTATTTTAGTCGATTATTACACTCTAATTTACTGCACTTTAGTTGAGTTTGCGCTTTAATCGCTAGTGTTTTGCACTAAAGTGTGTTTTATGCCTTGTAGGTGTGATTCCGAGCTATATAGATGTTATGTAATGAATTTAAGTGGTTTGGAGCTTTGAAGTCTGAGTAATAGCTCAAGGAATTAAGTTGGGATCGCGTTCGGGGATCAACGGATGATAAAACAACAAAACGAAAACTCGAAGAGGCATATTGCGCATTGTCTAGTAAAATAGATATAACATTTTACTCAGAACTCCATTTGAGCTCCACAATATATGGTTGGAAATATAACTCAAAGGCCTACAACTTTCATGTTTTATGTTTTTCCAAATTCCAAATGGAACAGGGTCAAAAACCGCGACCGCAGCAGAACTGCGGCAGAGGGCAGTCGCGGACAACTGAAGAATCTGAGAGGGTGTTTGGCCGCGGTTCCGGCGCGACCGCGGTGGAACCGCGGCAGGATGCGTAAATTTCAGAGACCAAAGTGCAAAACACGGGATTTTAAGCCCTAAACCCTATATTAAACCAAGGAAGCCGACCAAGAATTGGGGAGGACATATTTTTGACATAGATTTGACCTAAGGAGGCAGAGACACAATAGGAGCAAGGCTTGGGAATTCTTCTACGAGTTTTTTCCTTCCTCTTCCTATATTTCATTGTTAGTTATGACTTTTAGTATTGTAGTTTTACATACTATTATGAATAGCTAAGTTGTTATCTAGAGTTTTGATAGAACCTTTTGTAGGATAAATTCTTGTTATGTTTTTATATAATTGAGCCGTAGTATAATCTCTATTTGTTCAACTACGTTCTTATTGTAGTTAATTGAAGAGCTCTCAATTAGCTGTGCCTATTTAGTGTGCATAACTCGGGAGAGAGTGCATATTTAGGTAATTGTTGAACAACACCACTCCCAGAGTATATGAGGGATCAATAACCGAGGGTTTAAAGGCGGGATTAGGGATAACGAAGCCTTGGGTGCGATCTGAAGTGAGCTGTATCAAAAGCCAGCTAGCGTAGCTCGGGAGAGTGCGTCTAGTAAATTGTCGTGATTACTCGGGAGAGATTTACGGTAATAAGAGTGCTCATGATCGGTAGAGAATACTTAGGCGAAATTATAGAAGACATAGCGGGAAGGATTCCGACAATTGGGGAAATCATAACTCTAGACCTCCTTAATCTTGTCTCTAACTCTTAGTATCTTTAGTTGTTAATTTATTATTTTAATTTGTTAATCAATTAGTTAAACACAAGAATCTAAATATCTATAAGTTAGGAATTGTTCAAGCTTGTCTTCTTGGTGATAGTGAACAGCTGTAGCCAAACCTTAGTTCTCTGTGGGATTCGACTCCGGACTTGTAAACCGGATTATATTTGCAACGACCGCATTGTCCTTTTTATAAGGCATAGTTGGGTGTGATCAACTATGAATATCATTTTAATTATAACTGCTATATTCATTATACTTATGAAAGTTTTCTAATTTAACTTTTTTTTTAATGTTCATTATATTGTATATTTACCTATTTGTACACCAATGTTGTTGGAATAGTATTTGATTGTAAGGGCAAAATCGTTACTTAGTTTTTTATGGGTAAATTTGTAATTCAACTTTAACTTAAAGTGTTCTCATTATTTATAATATAGTATGATATAGACGATATCTGGAAGGATAATGCTCCATTATTTCTTTCTGATCCTTGTGTATATCCCAAAGGCTCTTGACTGACTACTCCACCAGCAGATGGCGTCTCATTATTTTACCAATTACTATTTTATAACTTAATGTTTATATCCCTTCTTTAATAGGAAGAATTTTGTGACAATATGGACGACTGATCAGTAGCACGTGTGTGGTGGCGGTTTTCTTCACAATGGAAAGAAGGGGAAGCACACGGTTAGCGACTATTTAAAGTTGTATTTATTCTTTAAGTCACTGTTTAAAATATATTTAATATTTAATTAGTAATTTAATAAAATTTTACCTGACAGGATGAAAATACTCTTGTGCTAGACTTATTATAAGTCAAGCTTCGCTCCATAAACCTTTGTTCGTCAATCTACGTTCAGTTTTGTTCCAACCTTTGTCAACCTGCTTTCTCCTATTTCAAATTGGAAAGTTCAGCTTTCTCCTCCTATTTCACCATAAAATCACTAAAGATTATCCACAAAAATAGTAAGTTCATTTTTTAGCTTTTAATCAATTGTGTGCATAAACTATCAGATATCTCTACATGTTTTTTTGTGTTTGGTCGATTTCTCCTTGACAGTATGTATTCAATTTTATTTTTTTTGGTAATAATATGTATTCGAATTTTTTTTTTGGCTATTAGTATTTGTTAATTTGATGATA